GTCTCCCGCTGCCGCCTTCTGCCACTTCGTCCTTAGCTCTCGGGACGTGTAGGGTAGGGGTGGTGATGGGCGGGCTGTCATCTGGTGGGGCACAGGACTGGGCCACGGCCACCAGTGAGCCAGGGTCTGGTTGGCCTGTGGCGGCTGCTACCAACCTGGGGTCACCTGCCCCACCAGCCAGAAGCAACCACGGGCTTCCTGCCTCCCGACCCCAAGGCTGTCTTCTGAGAGCTGCCCAGGGCCACCAGGCCTGTCCCCTCCATTGTATCCTTCAGCAGCATGGCCCCTTTGCTCAGGATCCACATTGGATGTCACACCCAAGACCACCTCCACCCGCCCTCCTCAGTGCAGGGTGCAGGTCCCCCACGGCCACTCCAAGTGGCTGTACACAGTCCTTCGGTGACGCTCTTTGCTGTCTGTCCCCACCACTGTGCAGCCTTCACCAGGAAAGGCACTGTCCACTTGTGTGTGGCTGCTCACACCTGAACCGCCAGTGCCAGCCAGACCTGGCACACACAAGGCTTGGCCACCTGGTGTCACAAAGCCACATCCTCACCTCAGGCCTCCTCCAAGTTCACCCGGAAGACCCAGCTCCCGACATCTGTCCCCACACCCCTGCCCCAGCTGTCACTGCCTGGCCCCCTACACACTCTGGTCTCTATCCCACAGGCCTCCAGTGAGGTCCTTCCATGGCACTGTCCCTCAGAAGTGAGCTCTGCCCCATGTCCATCTTCCCAGGAGGAACATGTTTCTCTACACTGACAAAGCAAACGTAGTAGCTGGGGAGCCCCTCCTCTGAGCCCTCGGACCTCCCTGCCACCACCTGCCCCGAGCACTGACTCCCAGTGTCACTAGGTCAGCAGAGCCCCTCTGAGCCCCTTCAGAACCCTACGTCCTCCAATCAGGCAGCCGTACCTTCAGGAACAATCCTGCCACCCCTTGCTGGATGTCCCACTTCAAAGCCCTCTGGCCCAAGTCGGTTCTCACACAGCCACTTTTTAATGGCTTGTGTTACATTGGGTTCTCTAGAGAAACACAAAAACCAGCAAAGCATATAGAGAGAGAAAAAAAAAAATTTAGGAAAATGGCTCACAAATGTACAGAAGCCGGCAAGTCCAAAGTCCCTGGAGGAAACGTCAGGCTGGCGGCAGCCTTAGCTTCCGCAAGCACAGAGGGCCAAGAAATTAAAGGCTGGCAGGCAGTACACTGGTGGTTGACTCCAACGAAAGATGAAACCAAGATCTCCAGGCCAAGCGGTGGGCTGCTCACTCACGGAAGGTTGTAGTCAGCACACCAGGGTTCCAATCCCTCAAAGAATGTCTCTCTTCCCTGGATGTCCCTGGATATCCTGGAAGCAGGCCACACCCCTAGGGACACTCCCCTTGGGCAGATTGGCCACTCAGAACACAGTCATCCGATCCCATCATGGGAACGACCACACAGAACTGGGGTCCAGCCAAGTTGACACACAGCTCCAACTATTACAG